GAAGTTAGGGTCACTCCACCGCCGGTCGAGGTGTTCGTGCTACTCCCATCGAAGGTTAGAATCCATTCGCTACTATCCACTAGAGCAACCATGGGTATGTTTCTGAGGACCTCCTCTGATATAGGGAAGTCGAAGCCTGATGGAAAGGTGGCCAATAAGTCCATTGCTACCTGACACTTAATGAGCCTACCGGAGAGGGGAGGGCTATCCATGAAGAACTTATTGGCCACCTTTCCATCAGGTAGCAATGGACTTATTGGCCTACCGGAGAGGGGAGGGCTATCCATGAAGAACATGATTGGGTCACTTCACGCGATGAGATGCACCCTTTGCCCTAGAATATAGTGCCTAAATTTTTGTTGCTCCGTGTGAGAATAGTTCTTCTCTGCTGCCTTGAGGGTTCTGTTGGTGTAATATATGGGGATTTCCACTTCGCTCTCGTCCTCTTGTGCCAATAGGCATCCTATGGCCTCTGTCCCTATTGTGATGTATATCCTAAATTCTCACTCGTCTTTGGGCGGCGACATCACAAGCGCCTTAGCCAATGCTTGCTTCAACCGCTCAAAGTTGTCCTAATGCTCCTGGATCCATCTGAACTCGACAGCTTTCTTGACTAATTTCACCAATGGTAGGGATGCATGCACAAGACCGGGAACAAACCTCCTCAAAAAGGAGACTTTACCAAGGAATGTCTTTAACTGGGACTCAGTTACTGGCGGTGGCAAATCTAAAATGGCCCTAACCTTACTTTCATTTGGATGTATTCAAGTCTGATCTACTCTGTAGCCTAAGAACTTGCCTGACTGCATTCCAAATGCACATTTTAGTGGATTTAGTCTCATCTTGAATTTCTTGCATCGGGTAAAGATCTTCCTTAAGAATTTGGAGTGCTCCTCTCTCTTCTTGGCTTTTATGATTTTGTCATCCATGTAGTACTCTATTTGTTTGTGAATCATGTCATGGAAAACATTAGTTATGGCTCTCCGATATGTGGCTCTAGCATTTTTCAACCCAAAGGGCATCATTTTATAATAAAAATTCCCTATGGGCATTCTAAAGGCCATGTGGGGTGCATCCGCAGGGTCCATAAAGATTTTATTGTATCCATTATAGGCATCTTGGAAAGAGAAGAGTTCATGTCCCACGGTCGAGTCTATCAATACCTCCATATTTGGAAGAGGAAACTCGTCTTTCGAGTAGGCCTTGTTTAGGTCCCTAAAGTCAACACAACATTTCAGCTGTCCATTCTTCTTCCTCACTGGAACTATATTGGCTAACTACTGAGATGTGCTATAGGTTTAATGAAGCCTACTTTCAGAAGCTGCTCTACTTCCTCTTTGATCTTTAATGTTATTTCCAGCCTAAAGATCCTCTACGGCTACTTCACCAGCCAGAATTTTGGGTCTATGCAAAGAGAATGGCGGACAAGTTCTAGGTCGAGTCCTAGCATCTGGTCGTATGACCAGGAAAATACATCCTGAAAATCTTTTAGAAGTGTGATGAGTTTTTCCTTGTCCTCGGTCACTAATTTGGCAGATATGTATAAGGGTCTTTTGTCAGATCCGTCAGCTACTAAGTCGATCTCTTCTAATGGTTCCTCAACTGTGTCGATGGAATGTGTCATGCACTTTGGGGGTACTCTAACCTCATTGAAATATTCCAGTGCATTCTCTTTCGAATCCTGAAGTTGTTTAAATTATTATTTGTCTAGAGTCTTGGGGATTTTATGTTTATATAGATCTGGGGTTTGAATGTTGTACCTTTGTGCCCAATCCAATGGTTGAATCATCGCTCGATGGTATGATCATAGCAATATCAGTTTGTGATGTAGTGAAATAGTGCTGGTTAAAACATTACTTAGAGTCTTCAGTTAGAAAAATGTAATGATTTTTGTAGCAAATATACATGTCTTATTTGAAAAACATCGGTGATAGATGGGGGTTAAAAACCGTTTTTGAAAAATAAATTTCGCTCTCGGTACATGCTACGATAAGGGTACACTAAGAAACCTATAAAATCATACCTCAGGGATGACCTTTTTAGCTGCGAGGCATTCATCGCTCTCATGGTCCTTGACAATGGTATAGTATTCATTTCTATCATCCCTTGTCACCCACATCTGCTTCTCTTTAGGCGTTCCGACGTTCCACTCTCTGGTGGGTGTGGCAGTTTTGTCCCCTCAACTTTGGCTATCCTTGTTTCTCCGTCCTCTGCCAACTCTATGAAGTAGATGGCATCTTGGAGGTGTATTTCGGACTTGTCGAATGGTGCCCTGGTGGTCGGGATCCTTATCGACCTCCCCTAGTATTTGGCCTTGACACATTGGTGGTATGTTGAAGGGACAAGGGCCAAATCATGTATCAGTGGTCACTCCAAGAGTATGTGATAGGAAGTCCTTCCTTGGACTACCTAGAACTATTGCATTATATTGAATGAACTGATCGCAACCAGCAGCTCTATGGACCCCTCGGTGACCGATGGATTACCATTGAAATCCATTACCTCTAATGGAAGCCCTTTGATGTCCTCCTTTTGGACATTCATCAACTCCAATGTGTGGACCAGAATGAGGTTTACAGAACTTCTCAGGTTGACCGTCAATCTATGCATGTCATACCCCCAATCTTTGCCATGATATACAAAGGCCGGTTGTGAAGGGGATCAGTAGCTAGCATGTCGTCTATCGTGAATTCCACACTACTACGACCACGGTTGTAAGGCTACAAGGGGTACTGGAATACTTCTACCAACCAGGGGTGGAGCTAGGGGTGGTAGAGGGGGAACATGGCCCCCCTATGCCTTGAAAATCCCTACAATACCTGATGCTGCACGATCTGGGCACTCCTAGCTAGCTGTGACTTGGCTTCTAGCTGGAATGGACAACACCTGAGAGGAAGGAGAAGGTGAAGGGTTCTCGGGGGGTTTTCCTGGTGGGAACACTCCGATGGCTAAGTTAGAACTGGAGAAATCTCAAGGAAAGAATAGAGAATAAGAGCGCTGAAAGTGCTTAAGCTTCAATACCTCTACTTCGTGAAAGTTAGAGTTCTTTTATGTCGAAGCTCAGTCATACCTGGCATAACCGCCACTACCCTAGCCGTTACTGCCAGGGCAGGCATGGCAGGTGCAGGTTGCTGCTACAGATTACTATCGCCATGTACGGACTTGACTGATGTGCCATGCTTTTCAAAGACGGCAAACAGAACGCTGCCTGGCAAGGGATCAGAGCCTTGCCACCGGGTCCTGCAGGTACGGACGTCAGGTAGGCCTCCCCACAGCCTACCGAGCTACTATACACCGGACTACTTGGGGTAGGTTTGTCTCAATACCGAGGTGCCGAGGTGCCTATGTTGGAGGCGGTGCTGCCCCGAGGTGCTTCTCCCTCGAGACACTTAGCCAAAAACTGGGGTGCTCCCTTCTTAGGAAGGGAGAGCTCAAAGCCCTTTAGGAAGAGCTTGGGCCTCAAGGGGAGCATGGGCCCTGGGAGGAGCTCGGGACCTCCCACACTTGATGGGAGTCAAGGTGGGCCAGGTGTTAGTCATCGGCGAGTCGCTTAACCCGCCGAGTGGCCAGCGTTGGACTCGGCGTGTCTCTCCCGTCGAGTCGCGGTTGTGCTGTCAGGCTGAGCTGTTCTTTGCGCTAACTCACGCACACGTGTCCCCGTGCTACGAGGTCGGGCCAAATCACTCTCCATCAATTGCTCCCCACTCCCCGTGCTGGGGGTGTTGACCCTACGCGGGGAGTTCACGGTGCGCCGGGTGGATTTGGCTCGATTCTTATGCCACCCTGTCGGGTGACCCGTTGGCCTAACCGGTCTAGTGTTCGGTTCACTCGGGAGGAAAACCTGGGTGGCGTACGACTTACGCGTGGACGTCACGCGATCTGGACTACGCGGATGCCAAAAAATGCGCTAAACTGATTTCACCTCGAGAGTCTCGCAGCCGGTTTTCTTGAGGGCCGTCAGATTGCTTCGATCTTGGTCGTCGGTGTCCGGGCCCATCGGCTATAAATAATGGGGGGACCTTGGTCATTTTCTTTCGCCGCTAAGTATCTTCTATCTTGAGCTCGCGTTAGGAGTCTTCAACTCGGGTCTTCTAGTTCGTCCAGTTCTATTCCAGTTGTGTTTTTTCTTGGTGAGTCCCCGAGCTTCCCTTTTTTCTTTCTTTAATTCGTTTCATTCCATGTCTAGTGGGGATAGTCTTTTAGACGAACCTGAGGTGGGTACCTCGGGTCCAGTTGACTCTACTATCGCCCAGCCTTCTCACGAGGCACGGGTGACCTCGGGGAGGTTGGCGTCCACCTCCCGTCGAGGTCGGGCGCCAGATCAATTCGGTCCATCTACTATGACGCCGGATCAGTTCATCCAGCAATTCAAATTGCCTCAGGAGTATTCGTATAGTCTTCCCACCGGCAACTTCCCTTGGGAGCACGGTCCAGATGAGATCGTGATCTTTAGGGAGCAACTTGTTGGCGGGCTTCGTCTCCCTCTTCACCACTTTATTCCCGAGGTGTTGAGACGCTTTAGCATTACGCTGGACCAGCTCCACCCCAATTCTATTCGGAATGTGGTCGGGACCATCTCCCTTTGTTCCGAATATAACATTCCCTTAGACGCAGATATCCTTTGTTCCATTCTGTTAATAAAAAAGAGTGCCTCGGGCACTACCCCCAAGCAAGGGTGGACCTACTATCTGTCCCCCCGCTCGGGCTTCAAAATGCTACATAAACTCCCCAGCAAGGTCCCGGCCTGGAAGAGGGACTATTTTGTAATCTGGAGCAGCACGAGGTGGCCCTACCTTACCAGCTGGAGGGTGGCTACTCAAGCCCCCATCATTACTCTTAACCGGAAGACGAGGGAAACCTTTCACTCATGGTTTCGGGTCGGGTTCGATCACACGGATTACATTGCAGAAGGGAAGCTCATTCAGGCCGGTTTGAGACCGGGTAGGTCTATTTCCACTTTAGTGTCTTGCTTAATCAGCCAAGTGTTTTCGAGCTTACTGATGCCGAGCTCTATTGCAGGTCCCATGGAGGAAGAGAGGATTACTAGTCCGAGGCTCCGTCACCAGATGAAGAAGAGGAAGAAGCGAGTTGCCAAGAAGGCGTGCGTGGAATCCCTAAGGACCCCCACCCCTGAACCCGACCCTCCGCAGGTTCCCTCTTCGGGGTCCGATCTCCCACAGGCTCCCGTTTCGGAGCCTGGGCTCCCTAATGCCCCTCCAGTGATAGATTTGGAGGAGAACTTACCAACTCGGGAGCCTAAAATGGCGGCAGAGCCGGTCACCGAGCCAGCTAGGGCTGCCGCCGAAGTTCCTAAACCTACCGTGGTTGCTGCTGAGGCTTCCGAAGGATCGGCTCATCATGCTGCAGAGATGGCGGCGTCCAGCTCGGGGAGCCAGGAGGAGGAGGAGAGCATCCTGAACACCCAGGTCAGCCTCAAAAGAAGTAGAGGGGCTGTCATCACCGTAGAGGTTATAGACTGGGCTGAACTCACCCCTGGTCAGCTCGGGGCCCGCGCTGCAACCCATGCTATGGTGGTGAGTTCGCACTCTAAGGGTCACCATTTTCCCTTTCTTTCGTTCTTTCCTCTCGGTACTGACCGACCTCCTTTAGCCAAGTGAACACTGTTGTGCACGCGTTGGCCTTTCAGCCTGACAAATACCTGAGGCACACTTTGGCTACGGAGGAGTCATCTCGCACAGCTCATACTGACCTGGGTGCAGCTCGGTGCAAGATTCATCAGTTGGAGAGTGACGCTGCAGCTCAGAAGAGCTTCATTGAGGCTCTGCTGTCAGAGAAGGAGGAGCTAGCTCGCGAGAGGGATAGGTTGAAGGCCGAGGTGAACGGGCTTAGAGCAGGCCAGGAAGCCCTGAAGCTCGAGGTGGAGAGCCTCAAGGCGGGTCGCACAGCTCACACTGATCTAAGGGCAACTCAGTGCAAGATTCATCAGTTGAAGAGTGACGCTGCAGCTCAAAAGAGCTTCATTGAGGCTCTGCTGTCAGAGAAGGAGGAGCTAGCTCGCGAGAGGGATAGGTTGAAGGCCGAGGTCAACGGGCTTAAAGCAGGCCAGGAAGCCCTGAAGCTCGAGGTGGAGAGCCTCAAGGTGGGTCAGAAGGCCTCGCAGCTCGAGGTGCAGGGACTTAAGGAGGTCAAGGCGGCCTTGGAGCATGAGGTGGAGTACCTTAAAGCCGACATCAAGGAGAAGACCGAGATCTTTGACGAAACTCTCGGAGAGGCGAAGGCCCAGGCCGTCATTGACTATGTCAAATCGTCTAGGTTTGACGACGTAATGTCGCAGGCCTACCATAAGGGGTTTAAGCTCGGAAGGTGGTGGATAAGGCACGCATACCCTGACCTCAACATAAGTGCCTTCACCACCTGGAAAATCGCAGATGACATGGCCCGTCAGGCCGTCGATGACCTAGACTCCGAAGACGAGGGTGGCAATGAGGAGGTAGGTGCTACTGACCTGGCTGACACCTCTGATGAGGCCCCCGAAGAGGCTCTGAGTAATGTTGACAAGCCCTCAGGGTAGTTGCGTGCTCCTTGTATTTCGGGCCTACGGGCTTAGTTTTATTTTCTCTTTTTCTTGATTCTTTGTACTGGGGTTTCTGTAATGAAAGCACACTTATGTAATGAGAGTACATATTTTGTTAAGTGTCTGTGTAGTTCTCTTCTGCCGAAGTGCCTATCTTATCCGAGCTGTTGAGTTAGTGAATTTAGCTCTTGAGGTGGGTGACCCTTTACCGCTGTCACCCCGAACTGTTTTCTTGTACTTAGTAGGGGTGATCATAAGATTTTAGCAACGCATGCCGAGGTAGGCATAGTAAGGCGCGTGCCTGACCTGCCTACTTGGCCATTTAGGTTGGTGTTTACCCCTAGCAGCGTATACCGAGGTAGGCTAAGAGTTAGAGAGTCCATACTCTAGACGCCTTTAATCCTTGGTATGCTAAGCCTATGTTGGCGAGGCGGTAAAGTTATGCATAGCGCCGAGGTCTTTAGTTAACCCGGCGTGTTGGCCCTTAGGCTATAGGGAGTGACTCGTGATTCATTTTCCTAGTGTCTGCCCTTTCCGAGGGGGTGACCGGATCTCATGTTGCTGAGGTTGTCGCTAGCTCGACGAATTGGCCCTTTGGCTTTAGGAGCGACTCGTGGTCTACTCAGTTCGGTGATTTATGGGTAATATTGTCTTAGTTTGATAATATTCCATGCCCGAGGTACTTGTTTCCCTTCTAAGGTTTTGAGTTCGTATGTTCCTTCCCCGAGTATTCACTTTACTCGGTAGGGTCCTTTCTAGTTCGGGCCGAGCTTGCCAACGTCGGGCTTAGGCACCATAACCTTGCAGAGAACCAGGTCGCCAACGCAGAGAGTCCGCCTTTTGACCCTGGCATTATAGTACCGAGCTATCCTTTTCTAATAGGCCGCGGTCCTAATGTATGCGAGGTCCCGTGCTTCGTCTAGCAGGTCGAGGTTGGTACGTAGCTCGTCTTCATTTGCTCTATCTTCATATGCTTTTAATCTTAGCAAGGGGACTTCAATCTCGGCTGAGATGACTGCTTCGGTGCCGTATGTAAGGTTAAAAGGGGTTTCTCCTGTGGCAGTCCTTAAAGTGGTATGGTAGGCCCATAGTACACTGGGCAGCTCATCTGTCCACAGCCCCTTAGCTCGGTCCAGGCGCGCTTTCAGTCCTTGATGGATAGCTCTGTGCGTAACTTCTGTTTGGACGTTCGCTTGAGGGTGCGCCACCGAGGTGAAGTTCTGTTGAATTCCCATGTCTCGGCACCAGTTTTGGAACTTGATGTCTTTGAACTGCTTACCATTGTCGGAGATCAGTACCCGGGGTAATCCAAAATGACACACTATGTTCTTCCAAAAGAAGTTCTGCACGTTCCGAACTATGATTGTCACGAGAGGTTCAGCTTCGACCCACTTTATGAAATAGTCCACTGCCACCACTAGGATCCTTTTTTGTCCTGTTGCTGGCGGGAATGGCCTGAGTAGGTCAATCCCCCATTGTGCAAATGGCCATGGGCTAGTGAAGTATTTCAGGTCGGCTGCAGGTCGGTGGTGGATGTTAGCGTGCTTCTGGCACATGTCGCATTTTTTGACAAGTTTGGTCACATCTGCTTTCATGGTTGGCCAGTAATACCCCTATCATAGTGCTTTCTGAGCGAGGGCCCTGCCCCCCAAGTGTCCACCGCACATGCCTTCATGAGTGTCGCAGAGGACGAGCTCGGCTTCCGTGGGTTGCAGGCAACGCAGGTAGGGGAGCATGTAGGATCTTCGGTACAACCGTCCATCTATCATGACGTATTTGGCTGCTTGGCGCTCTACCCTCCTGGCGGCATT